TACACAGAGCCGTAGTTCACTGACAATTAGGCAATATCGCGTTCATAATCGCAGATAAATCGCATTCGATTATGAACGCGATATCGCCTAGCTTGTCAGTGAACTACGGCTCTGTGTATTAAATGCCGCTCCATCTGAATGCAGGTGATGGAGATTTACTACTAATCACAGAACCGGCTTTACTGACGAGATGCGCATGACAATCGCATGCGATTTAATTGTACAGCCCTATCAAACTCACTCTCTCACTCACACTCACACTCACACGCACTCACACACTCACACACTCACTCACACTCACACACGCACTCACACACTCACACACGCACTCACACACTCACTCACACTCACACACGCACTCGCACTCACTCACTCACTCACTCACACACGCACTCACTCACACTCACTCATTCACACACACACACACACACACTCACTCACTCACTCACTCACTCACTCACACATACACAGAGCTGATGCAAACTGATATAAACTGTTAAATTAAAACTTATGCGCAAAAAAGCCTTATGTGCAATTTAAAAGTTTTTATACAACGTAGGGTTTTTTTGAGTGTTGGTTATTACATCTAAACATTAACAACAGAGCCTGAACTGTTAAATTCAATAGCTATTTATTTTAACCTTTTATATTATTATCCGTTCATATCAAAATCTCAGGATACGATAATATCGCGATATGAAGTCCACGATATGATATTTATTGCGATATTTAAAAAAAAAAAGACATGAAGAATTGGAAAAAATTAACATTTTGTACATTTTAAAGTTAAATTATTCTATCTAATGCACTTTTAGAGTTCAAAATGAAGAGCTCCAATAATAACAACAATGACAGTAATAGCCATATATTGTAAAACAATTGCACTGTAAAATAAATGAAAATGAATATTTCATCTCGTCAATACAGTGGGGAAATAACAATACTTCTTTCCTAATTTCTACACTTGAAAGAGATATTTTGAATTTGGACTGCATTTAAAATGCTAGCTGCCAGCAATTCATGCAGCACTTTTAAGCTTTTATTTTGACGGAAACGGCAGTATAGCTTTTATTTTGAAGGAAAACTCCAGTTTCAGTGAAAACAGACTTACAAAAACACGTCTCACTACAAATCTAGTGAAATGCTGTAATCATCTGCTGCGAAAATAAAGCATAACTGGTGTCTGTTGCATTCCTAAACGCAAGCTAAACTCACATCACATGAAATAAACGAGTTGACTGCATTCATTCAGTGTGAACGAGTCGTTCTGAGACGCGGAAAACACCGGATCACGAGCTGATCGTCTGAACGAAGTGTGCGCTTCACTTTGTAACACGCAGCGCAAACAGACTTGATGAAGGGATTAAGCCACATTGTGCTTTCGGTTTTAGTTCGTTTGTCAGATAGTGTGCCAAAACATAATGGCCCAAAACACAACTTTAAAGACCTTTTATGTTAGAATAAGAAGTTTAAATATATTTAAAAAATATTTTCATATCGTCATGTGACCATGATAATATCGAGACAGTTTTGCTATCGCGATATAATGATATCGATAATCGTTACATCCCTAGTATAAAATATTTGAACATCTTCATCTCTTATAGTCGCATTTAACAGATTAGGTATATATACTGATATATCCAATTTTATGTAGACAGTGTTGGGAAGGTTACTTGGGAAATGTAATAGGTTACAGATGTTACCCTATTTAAAATGTAGTAAGTAGTGTAACTATTTCAATTACTTTATGTAACTGATTACATTTGATTACTTTTAATTTCTTTTCTAAATCTGTAATGTTTTGAACTGTTAATCATTTTGAAACATGTAAAGCAGCAGGGTTAACCTTAAAGTAGAGCTCAACACTGATTACTGTCAGACTTTCAGAATCCTTCATCACTCGAATTAAGATTATAATTTAATTTTAAAGCACAGCCACCACAAAATCAGACTTTATCACCTCTTTTTACTTTGAGATCATTCTGAAGTTAAATACAGATTTGAAACCATAACAAGATATAGTTTAATAGCTATGATGCTGTTTTTGAAATCAAATCTTTGCATGGCTATGACAGCAAACACTGGCATCTAACAATGCCTTGGAAAAACAGTTAATCTAAAAAAAAAAAGCATAAACATAAACCCAAATAGGAAATAAAACAGTTATAGAATAAGCATGTGTCCTAAACTCTTGAAACATTGGTGTCTCCTATTTTAAAGCAGTCAATGCAATTTATGAAAGAAACCAATTAAATCTTTATCTGTGTGAAAATATTCAGATGTAGCCCCTCTTTGCAATCATTAACATTTTCATGAGCAACTGTAATTTAATTACACATTTTTTCTCAGTAACTGATTACAAATACATTTATTTTGTAATTACATTAGGTAATTTAGTTACATGTAACTAGTTACTTCCAGACACTGTATGTGCATGTACAGTTTACAGCATTAGTTGAGAGATATTTGTCCTTTGCACATGGAAATGGTGTCTGTGTGCAGCTGGAGCTGGATGGTGGGCGGCATCAGAACAGACGAGTGCTCATGGCGCTCACAGAGAAAGATCTCCTGCTGTTCCAGTCGGTGCCATGGACGCATGAGAGCTGGACCTCTCCTCTCCTGACACACCCGCTGCTCGCTACACGGTCAGACCCTTATTATAGCAAAGCCTAATGTACTGTAAGAGTCACAGTGAATGAACTCAGTCTGCTCTGTCTTCTGTGTTTGTCTCTGTCTGCAGGCTGGTTCACTCGGGCAGCGTGCACAGCTCTCCGGCTCTGGGTGGAGATCTGGTGTTCGCCACACGAACAGGCACCGGCCGAGGCATCGAGTCTCATGTGTTTCGTGTGGAGACACACTGGGATCTGTCCACATGGACACGCGCGCTGGTGCAGGGTGGACATCTGGCTGCTGAGCTCATCAAAGAGGTTTCCATAGGTGTGTGTGTGTGTGTGTGTGTGTGTGTGTGTGTCAATATACGTAGAAAAGAATCTACCCTTCGCAGTAATACACCTGTCTTAAAAACGTTACTGGTCAGTCCTACCTTAGCAAACATGGCCGTAATGTAAGTCCACAGAAGTCCTGTGTTTGGGTAGTTTTAAAGTCCGCATGAAATTAAAATTGGCCCTATGTTTTCTAAATGCATTTTAGATAGATCTTATTGTGAACAATACATGTTTTTCATGTTTGTACCTCGTAATTTTTTATCTCTGGTCACATATGCAGGACTTCTGCAATCATTTAGTCTGCTTAAATCCCACCCCTGCAAGCTTCAGTGAAATTTTACAGAGCATATTCATAAACATATGTGGACCCTGGACCACAAAACCAGTCATAAGTGTCAATTTTTTAAAATTGAGATTTATACATCATCTGAAAGCTGAATAAATAAGCTTTCCATTGAAGTATGGTTTGTTAGGATAGGAAAATATTTGGCTGAAATACAACTATTTGAAAATCTGGAATCTGAGGGTGCAAAAAAAATCTAAATATTGAGAAAATCATCTTTAAAGTTGTCCAAATGAAGTTCTTAGCAATGCACATTACTAATCAAAAATTAAGTTTTGATATATTTACAGTAGGAAATTTACAAAATATCTTCATGGAACATGATCTTTACTTAATATCCTAATGATTTTTGGCATAAAAGAAAAATCAATCATTTTGACCCATACAATGTATTTTTGGCTATTGCTACAAATATACCCCAGCGACTTAAGACTGCTTTTGTGCTCCAGGGTCACATATAATAGTGCACATATAATAGAAGCACAAGCTACTCCCACTCGAGATGTCGTTTCTAAACTTTAAATTAATTTAAAGGAAGATTCTAGGTTCAGTATATGTTAAGCATTCTTATCAATTTTAAGTTGTTACATTTCTGAGGCAACAAAGAAAAATTTATACAGCTTTCCACAGAAATGGTTAATAAGTATATATTTTTTTATGTTAACAAGCGTTTTTTAATGCATTGTGGCTACTGTTGAAATAATTAGACTTTTGCTTTTTTCTTTAAAAAAAAAGGAGGGACAAGTCAAAATTAATTTTTGTGGCAGTCAACATTATGCACACAATTGCTAGTGAAGGCAGCGAGTGCACAAGTGCAAGTTGAACTTGTTGAACCTGGAATATTCCTTTAAGAAATACTGTGGGTAAACTGTGTCAGCCCTCATTCACAAATCAACATGTACAACACCAGTAAGTGGTGCACCTATATGGGTAAACCTTAGTAATGTAATATTAATAATGTTTCTTTATGGTTGATGGTAACTAAAGACTGAACGGTACCATATCATAATGAGTCAAAAATGAAATGAAAATGCTGTCATTAATTACTCACTCTCATGTTGTTTCAAACCCGTAAGACCTTCGTTCATCTTCGGAACACAAATTAAGATATTTCTGATGAAATCTGAGAGCTCTCTGACCCTCCCATAGACAGCAAGGGTACTACCACGATCAAGGCCCAGAAACATAGCAAGGAGATCAGTAAAATAATCCATGTGACATCTAAATATCTTAATTTGTGTTCCGAAGATGAACGGAGGTCTTTTTTGGGTGAGCTATCCTTTTAAGATAAGATAAACACCAGCTAGAATGCTTTGTAACGTTACACTTTATTCCAGTTCTTGTAAGATTAATATCCATTAAATTTGTACACCCATAAACATTATGAGCACATTTGACCAAGAATCATGTTGTTCACCGAAATGTCCAAATTCATTCCTGTTGGATGTTGTGTAGTTCTCTTCTGTTCTGTAGTCTGAGTAAAGCTTAGCAAAGGGGCGACTGTGGGGGAAAAAGCTGGACTGAAAAATGTCTTTTCTCCCTGTGTGGTGTGTAACAATAGCTGGCTGGAGGAAATGTTGGAAATATTGAGGGCTTTCCTTCCTGAGTTCCAGCCAGCAAAGAAAACATAAAACCACATGAATTCACCTTCTGTTGGTTCACATCTGTCTGTCTGCGCTCCTCAGGCTGTGTGTTGAACAGACAAGACGTGCGGCTGATCCTGCATTATGACAGAGGGTTCACTGTGAAGCGGGAATCTGTTGAATCCGTGCTCTTTCACTTCCCCTATGAGCGGCTCAAGATGTCTGCAGACGATGGAGTCAGGAACCTCTACTTGGACTTTGGTGCTCCAGAGGGCGAGATGGTATGATATCTACCTGAGATGATGGGATGAAATGGGCACACAATTCTGAATGAAAGTCTGTTGGTCCTGACATTATAAAACTTTCACTCATTAAGGCCTCCATAATTCTGTTATTTTATTTATCTGTTTATAGCTTTTTTGTCTGTGTAGTCTCTAAAAATGTATGTAATCTAGAGTGACTAGAAATGTTATGTAATCATTAGTCAAAATACGTAGGATCCCTGTATCCATCTTTTTTCTTACGCCCCATGACACTTTGTGCAAATTATGGGAGTAATTTCCGTTTACACTAGGGATGCACGATATAGGATTTTTGCCGATATGCCGATATTTTTCAACTCTTTTTGGCCGATACCGATATATTTCCTTTTGTTTGGAAACAACACCAAGTCTCTCCTGTGCAGAAATTATAAGCAAAATATTTTTCATTTTGGTTAGTTTTTAACATGGAACTTATTTGTTAGAATTAAATAAACAATAATGAAGGTTTTTTGACAGTACATTGAAGCTTTGAAAATAACTATAAATAAACGCTATATCAATCGCTGCATTTTTTTCCTCAGAAAGATGCAGTGTTAACCCTAACATTTTATTTTAAGACTTAACATTTGTAGATGGTCTAAAGCAAAAGAGTTGTAAAAATTCTGAAAACCTTTTAGAGCTCATGATTTGTTTAAAAAATAAAACATATTACACACTAATGAATAAATCAGTATATATAAAACTATTTAATTTACAAATGTCATGTTTATGATTTTTTTTCATGTAAGCTATAGCTTCTGACCTTTAAATCAAAATATACTAATTATTTTATGACATCAGTTACTGCTTTATTTAATCAGAAACACAGTCTAAATGTTATTTGTGTAGGCTATTTTACTTTTAATTTAATTAGAAGTAGGCCAACAGCGCCCTCTACAGATTAAAGCTCTTTACTGAGCAGGCGTTAGGACCCTGGGGAGGCTGCCGCTGCAGGTGCTATTACTGTTTACTCTATCACACACCAAACGCGTCACATGCTTTCACAGATTAAATGCAGCGATCCAAAGCAGTCAATCTAATCATCATTCAGACAAAACTTTGCTTCAAGAATGAGCCACACTGCTGACGTGATCTAATCGCTAGCACACCCTGAGCACATGTGAGTTAAAGTATTCCTCTTATCACAAGACATATCGGCATAATTTTTCATATCGGGCCGATGCCGATATTTACATTTAAAGCCATTATCGGCCGATTCTGATATCAGTCCGATAATATCGTGCATCCCTAGTTTACACTGTAAACACCCTAGTGAAAAATAAATATACTTAAATGTATTTGAAATACATTTATTTAATGCTAAGTATACTACAAATACTTTTTCATATTTATGTACTTAATAAAAATACCCTGCAATTGTACTTTTAGTATACTGAACTGGCATACTTCAAGTCTGCTAAATTGGAACAACTAATATTGTACTTAATGCACTTTAATTGTGCAGAAGTAGTGCTGAAGTCCAATTAAAGACATACTTAGTATATTTAATTGTGCAAAAGTGGAACTATTGCAAGTATACTTTAGGTACACTTTAAATATTTTGCATTTAAAGACCGATATTATTCAAAGATCATAAAATCCTCATGTGACATTAAAACACATTTTAGGCTTATTTTTAATAAATGGGCATTGTGCACAAATTTAATACTCCAAATAAAGTTTCATTAAAATTTTTATATCAGTAAAGGTCCTTGCTCAGTTCGAAATTTTCGCAAGTGTTTTTCCTTTTTCTTTTTTCGTATTCGTCATCCTTTCCTATCAAAATACATGCTACGGATGCGAAAACGCAGAAAATCGAACCTGATCTGAATTTTTTTATGATGGCCAAAAGTTTCGGAGGCAGTGTGTAAACGTGATTGACGCAGCGTGAGGTCGTATTTATTTTTCAACGTGTGAAAATTTCAGACTCAGTGTGCAATGGCCTTAAGTCTCGAGTTATCTGTCAGTAAATATGTTAATAGATTTTAACTATACTTAGTATACTTACATAAATGTATTTTAAATATATTACTTTTTTACTAGGGCAATCAGCAAAAGTTTTGCTCTGTGAACGCAATAATCAGCATTTTCAAAAACTGGGGACAATGAGGTTACATCATTTTACTCACCCTTCAACCATTGATCATTAAAAGAAAATGTAAAAGTTTAAAAGCATTAACAAATTACTTTTAGCACACCATGAATAACTCCTAAAGATCCTCCTTCTATCCACAGCAATATTACAGACGTGTTAAACATCATTATAGTGATATATGTCTATATTTCATAACAATTACATTTTACAGCATCCGTGTGAAAACAAACCTGGAAAGAGACGTGAGGATTTGGGGAGAAAACTAAAAGATTCCCAGTGCATTCCTGGGAATTATTCATGGTTTATAGCGTAAATGAAATGGGGAGAGCAGATCACAAATGCACAGTATATGTTTTTTTTCGTTTACTGAAAGCGAAATACAAAGGAAACATGAAAATAATCAGGAGGAAAAGAATGCAGCGGGCTGAAAAGAGCTATTAGATACTGTTGTTATATCACGACACATTAATATACCAAACGTAACGTTATTCTCCTGACTTCTGAAAATAGAAAATGAATGAAAATGTATAGCCCATTTATTCAAAATGGAGAATAAGGATGATTTGTAGCGCAATCTTTTTGAAATGATTTGTTGCAGTCTTTTTGAGTGGAACTTCCCCAAAATCAGAAGAGCCTCCCATCATTTAAAACACAGAAGGCTCGTTGGGAAAAAGGTGGATAGTTCTCATAATAATCAGTATTTTTCTGTCTCTCTTGCAGGTGTTTGAGCTTCACTCGGGGCCGAAGCCTGTGGTCTTTGTGCTTCATTCGTTTCTCTCAGCCAAACTGTCTCGCTTGGGACTGCTCACGTAGAATCAACAGCAAACGATGGAGGTTCATTTACTTCTTTGATTTATTGACGGCTAGTATTTTACTCAAGAAGTGTTTTCATAGTTTACTTCTCTTCTAGCCAACACATTTGTTGTGTGAGTGTGTGGCTTTCTAAAGCAGAAAACAATCCTAGTTTCCTCTGATCAGGAACACCAGATGTGCCTTCTCATCTAGAGCCAACAAGCTTTTACACTCATTTTCAGGCTTAAGGGTAAAAGCTTTGCAGAGTAACCAAAATGAACATATTACTCTTGTATTATCTGTGCTGTTTGTTTTTCACGTAACTCGCCTGTATTTATGTTTATATGTATCGCATGGCAAAGACTGTTACCTCTGTGTGTTATAATCTGAATGAATGTGTGTCATTTGAATGCAAATATGGAGAAAATGAAGCTTTAAATACATTCCCTCACGACTGAAGTTAAAACTCTAGAAGGTGTTGAATAGGATTGATTCAGTTTAACTAATATTTTGAAAAAATATAAAGTATAGGAATGTTTTATTAGTTTATCTGTTCTCTGCATGTCATAAGAAATACTTTTTCCACATTTATGACCAAACCTGCTCCAGGCCTTGATTTTTTTATTTATTTTTTCCCTGCTGTAGTACATTAATGCTCGTTAGATGAGTGTTTAGTCCTTATTACAGGCTTCCCGCTGTCATAAAAACCTGGAAATATCAGGGGATTCCAGGATTGGAAATGTGAAGGAAATTAATGAAACCTTTTTATTATTAAATAAATCATGGGGAAAAAGTCCTATTTCTATAGTCTATATATATATTTTGCTCTGAAGAACTTGGCTTTTTGTAAGTACAATCTTTATAAAATGGCTTTTAATAATCCTAATCCAGTTTTCAGACAAGACTGGAAAAGTCTTGAGATTTATTGGTCAAAACATGTGGGGACCATCACGTTTTTAGCACTGATATGTGGTTTGTCACGGTGTGTATGTTTTATGTTTATCAATATAGTATCAGTATAGCATCAGTATATATTCTTTATTAACATTTTATCGTTTTATGTAATGCATGTAATGCAAACTGAGTTTGAGCACATGATCTCTTACATTAACCCATGACTTCAGTCACAGGTGCCGTAGTTTAGGAGTTTTTCAGTACTGAAGACATTCCCTCATCAGTATACTGCTTTAGGCAACATGTACAATGTTCTAGTAGAATAAGAATATGAACAATATGACAATATATGGAGGTAATGACGTTTTTAAAATGAGTTGAGCAGTATTTCTTCATAACCGTTGCTCAAGCTTAACAGAAGCAATGTTTCTATAATATGTCTTTATTTTAGCGTAAGGCTCACTCCACAAGTGAAATGCAAAAAACACATGTATCTGCACAAGGACCACACGTACAACCTCTTTGATGCTTTAAGTGCCTGTAAACTTTTATAGTCTATTGTACATACTAATATCATGAATATGTGAGATGTTTGGAGCTGTGGTCAGCCTTCAGACCATGAATGTACTTTATAAACCCAGAGATACATGCCTCAGTTTCATTATTTGTTAATAGCTTGATTTTTCTTTATTTTGAAGAGAAAGGGTTTGAACCAAAGTTCACTTGTGGCAGCTTGCAGCACACAATCAAATGCAAAAAAAAAAAAAAAAAATGCTAATTTGTTTGTACATGTATTATAACTCTCAAAGCCTGTAACCTGAAGCTATGCACTGTCTTTATGTAAATGTCATATATAAATAAAAACATGTAAATTATTAAATGAGTGTTATATAGTGTTATTATGGCACTAATGCGTTGAGCTTTTGTTTTCGGAGGACAGTAGCAACTTCCGTTTCTATGTTCACTCCTCTATCACATTATGTCAACCTTCTTTAAATTATTTATTTTATTGTTCTCGTTATTTAGCGAACAATTTGAGTATATTATAAATACTATTAATAGGGCACTGCAGTGAAACCGCTGGCGCGTGAGATGAAATGACAACGTCAACACTACAGGTGAGTTTACTTTAGCTTTAGCTTTAGCTCATCGTCCTTATTTAGAGACAGAGCAAGCGCAAATCCTGGCAGCGCCAGGCCGCAGCGCCACTTCCGGTGGCATTCCCAGCTGCCACTAGTCGTTTCTGGCAGCTGCCACGGTCTTTCTCGCCGTTTCTGCTGTTTGCTCGGTAAAACTACACTGTGTATACTATATCATATATATATATATATATATATATATATATATATGTGTGTGTGTTATATAACCTATATATAGGTTATATATATATATATAACCTTACTGTTGTCATCTCCCTGCATTAAATAAACATTAAATTTAAAAGGCAAAATGCAATTATATTTTGTATTTTTACACTATGTAATATTCTGTTTATCAAAACCGATAAATCTCATCAAGTTAGTGTTTTTACGTATTTTCATATTTATTCCAAAATAATAACAAAAGACAGTAACAATATAAACAATATATTTTATTTGTCAACTAATGTTCAGCTGTTCTTTTTAGCTTTACCAGCGGGTGTCGCTGTTGGACAGTTACTTTGTAAAAACTAGTGACTTTTACACTTTTTAATGTCACATTTTGTAATACTTGCGTTGTTTTATTTTTGTAATATCGATAACTTTCTGATCCAGTTTTTTTTTTTCTAAAGAGACTCTGCCTCCCTTGCCTCGACTGATGGCAGAAGCCGTACAACACAAAGATCAGATATTCATTCATCTTAAATTATGATCCTTGCGGAAGTTGCGGCTTTGAGGTTATGTAAATTTTGGCAGGTTATTTTACATTCATTATTCAAATTAATAAAGTGATGAATGGAAATTGGACAGTTCAATTAAGTATAGAATATCTGTAATAGCTACAAAAATGAAAATGGAAAAATGTGGGATCACCGAGAAATGAAATGTTTTTTATTACAATTGTATAACTACGGTTTTACTACAAATAACATGCTTAAACTATGGTGAGTGTAGCAAAATGTTTTAACTGTAATAACCTTTTTTATTTGTTTCAAAACCATGTGTAATTTTCGTAAGTTTTTTTGCAAATAATTTTTACTGTTATTTTATAATGATAAACAGTAATAATATATTTATAATATTTATAGAAAGCATTTAATGTTAGAAAAGATAATTTATGCATGTACTGTAAATGCTCTTCAAGTTTGAGGCATTAATTGTAACAGTATATACACCAAATATTTTGACCATATTTTCTTCTTTCACAACAGGAAAACATTTTTTGAGAGACACCAGGACTGCAGCTGACTGGTGCGGTAACAGAAATTGAAATGGATTTTATATATATATATATGTTATACATACATAGCACCAAATCACAAACTGACTTATCTCGTGGCACTCTACATACATGCATGTAAGGGCACTTTACAACATTAACTGCAGAGACCCAACATTCCCTCATTAGCAAGCACTTGATGACAGCAGCAAGAAAAAAGTTTCCATCTCTCTATAGAGGGCTGGGTGAAAAAAACATGGCTCATAGCATTGTATTAATGATCTCTGTCTGCATGGTATAAAACAATTTTTCCATTTTCTTCTTTGCATATGACCCTAGACAGAAGACATAATACAGCGACTGGAACGAATCATATCTGTGCCTGGGCCTGCAGCTGAGAAGCAGATGTTTCTAACAGAAGTGATTCTGCCTGAGGTGAGCTATAGAGATGTGTACTACATTAACCTGAGGCATTAATTGTAACAGTATATACACCAAATATTTTGACCATATTTTCTTCTTTCACAACAGGAAAACATTTTTTGAGAGACACCAGGACTGCAGCTGACTGGTGCGGTAACAGAAATTGAAATGGATTTTATATATATATTATACATACATAGCACCAAATCACAAACTGACTTATCTCGTAGCACTTTACATACATGTATGTAAGGGCATTTTACAACATTAACTGCAGAGACCCAACATTCCCTCATTAGCAAGCACTTGATGACAGCAGCAAGAAAAAAGTTTCCATCTCTCTATAGATGGCTGGGTGAAAAAAACATGGCACATAGCATTGTATTGATGATGTTCTCTGTCAGCATGGTATAAAACAATTTTTCCATGTTTCTTCTTTGCATATTATCCTAGACAGAAGACATAATACAGCGACTGGAACGAATCATATCTGTGCCTTGAACTGCAGCTGAGAAGCAGATGTTTCTAACAGAAGTGATTTTGCCTGAGGTGAGCTATAGAGATGTGTACTAAATTAACAATTAGAATAGGAATTCAATTTAAAGTAAAGAAATTGATAAGCAAGTGATGGCTTTGAGGCCTCTAAAGCTACGGGTGTCAATATAATTTGAGGAGCAACAATCAGAGATTATATACCAAGTACAATAAAATGGAAGCATGACTTCACACTTCTTCTTTAATTGTTGGCTTCCAAACTGCAGTACTTCAGTATAAGTAGCAACTTAATTGAAAAGATTAAACTGAAACCTTAAATGTGGTTAAAGTTGTCTGTTTGTCACATTAAAATGAATACTGTACATTTCTTAGGTTCTGATTTATTGGTTGCAAACCAATGTCAATATGTGCCGATATATGGCCGAATCTGTGCTTCTGAAGTGCACATCTTTCGAAGGAAAGAAAAGGTAGAGGATATTTTTTCATTGTGGGTGTTCATACTTACTCTTTGTATAACATCACTAAATACATTCTTCCTGTCATGACATTAGGGGATTTCCATGTCAAGCTGATGCCATTGTAATTAGGTACCGATTTTCTTTTTTTTTCCCAGTGTTGCAGAGATCAGAACAGGTGAGGACACAGAAAGCACCGAAGAGGTAAGACATTTTTAACAACAGCCCATTTTTAACAACAGCCTCCCACCCCCCAAAAATGTACCTCACTTGATTTATTCAATGGCAACACCTAAATGGGGGAAGCCTATAACCCATTCACAAACATCAAAAAATAATTAATCTTAAATAATTATCCTTGAGACTTTGCTTTGTATGTTTTTACTGATTATTCTACATGCATTTTACATCATTTTCATGTGTAATCAAAAATAATAAAAATGGAGAATAATATAAACATAGTACATGAATGAAATAACATTTTTGTAATATAAAATATCTGGCAAATATCTGTGGGATTCCTGATAAATGATACATAACATTTTTGTAATATAAAATATTTGGCAAATATCTGTGGGATTCCTGATAAATGATACATAACAGTTAAATGAATTAATTCTGAAGGAACTGGATTTCATTAAGATCCATTAAGGTCTTAAATGACACAAGAACTGATAGACAGCATTCATTATAACAAAAGATCATATATTTCTTAAAAATGTTGTAACAGCTTTATGTACTCTACACGTTTGAAGCATTAACATCAGTATACATGAAATAATTTGACCATATTTGTTATTTACTGCAGGAAATCCTTCTTCTGAGAGACGCCAGGACTGCAGCTGACTGGTGTAGCAAGAGAAACTGGGATGGAAAAATACAATTTCCCATTGTTCTTTCAATGGAAAAGGAGCAACAAATTGCATCCCAATGCAAATTGCAGAGCTGGATGGGTGAATATGACGAAAGTTCTCCAGCCGAACTGTTCACTTTTGTATTTGGGAAACAAAAAGATTATGAGGTGTTCTGCACAGAAATGGATCATAAAGCAAAGTACAAAATCTTCGCCAGATTTGAGGAAGAATAAGTCATCCTTCAGGATCATAAATAAAAAAATCAATCAATGATAAAAATACATTAAAAAATCAATAAAAACTTAAGTGTCTCAATTAAAATGGTCTCATGATTATTTATATATATATATATATATATACACA